CCCTGCAGGTCCCAGGAGGAGCCCGCCCTGCCCTGGCAAGGGTCCTCTGCCTGGCTCCTACTTCCTGTCCCGCTCATCCTGTCTGCCTCTGTGGCCCCCCAGGCTGCCGGCTGCCCGGGTCCACCCCCGGGTTCTTCTCTCCAGCAGCCTGGTAGCTCCCGAGGCTGGACTGCAAGGGCAGCCTTGAGTGAGTTCCCAGCCTGTGCCGCGGGCAACGGGCAGGGGGTCTGCGGCTCTGAACAGCTCCCGTGTGTCCCAGTGCTGGGAACCCTCGCTCACTGCCGTGAGAAGTGAGATCATGACCCTCCGCATCCGAAGCCCCCGGGCTCACACCGGGCACCAACCTTACCTGCCCGGGGGGCCCGTCCTCAGCCTTTCTGAGCCTGTCTCACTACACAAGCTGGGCCAAGTGGTCACGCCCATTAGGTGCTCAATAAATGGCTCTGCTTGAAAACAGCACCATGCCAGAGCCACAAAGCAGAGACGGCACATCCTGAGTATTGGCAAAGTGTGCGAACTTCTTCTTCTTCTGACATCCCAGACACCTGTGCAGGGGCCGGGCCACACCTGGCCCTCAGCTCCCCCATCCTGAGGCAGCGATGGAACCACTCTGAGGCCAAAGGTGCCCTCCCCTGATTGAACCCAGGGCACTCGACCACTGAGCCCCACCCCAGCCCTATGTTTATTTTATTGAGAGACAGAGTCTCGCTGAGTTGCTTAGGGCCTCACTTTTGCTGAGGCTGGCTTTGCACTCTCATCCTCCTGCCTCAGCCTCCCGAGCCGCTGGGATCACACCTGCTACGTGTGTTGACGTTTAATAACCCTTTATTTAATTTTGCCCACCAGGTGGGAAGTTAATCTCACTTCCAGGCGAGGAAAACAGGTTCAAGACCTAAGGACTGAGTGAGCTGGGGCAGACAGAAACTCTCTTTGGTCTCTGGGGACGAAAGGGCACAGGGGAGGGCCTGCTCTCATGGCCTTGGCCTGGCACGACCTTGGGACCTGCCCTTTCTGGGTCTCCTGAGAACCTCGAGATCCCAGAGGCCTGGACGCCCTGGGAGGCCTCGGGGCCAAGCGGAGGCCAAAGAGGCCCAGGGCACCCGAGCGCTGCCGAACGGAACAGAGCTGAGCGGGGCGCAGCGTGGTCCTGGCCTGTGGTGCGGTGACCGCACGCTCTGCACCTGGCGCCGCCCGCAGGCAATGCGCCAGGGACCGCTGACCCGCCTCACGAGGGCAAGCCTTGGTGGCAGTGGGCTGGCGACCACTCCCACGACGTGCGAGGCCAAGGAACAGCATGTGCGAAGCCTGGAGGCAGGAGGCAGGAGGTGAGCGCGCAGGGCAGGGCGACGCCGGCCTCTGGACCCAGCCGCAGGTGCTTCTCCCGAGCCTTGGAGGGCAATGGCGATGCCTGACCCCACGCTGGGCGCCGGGGACAAATAGGGCCTGAGGAGGAGGTATTGGGACCTCGCAGGCATCGTGGACCCAGAGCCCAGGTCCCCATGGGGCTTGGCGGTCAGGTCCCAGGGCCAGGGCCAGGGTGGAAGGAGCATCGAGCGCCCACCTCGGGCACTGTCGTCCCTGTGTGAACTCGGTGCTCCTCTCTGAAGACCCTCGAGAGGCTCCGGGGTCAGGCCCAGCCCAGTGGGTGAATTTCGGGAGGTCCTGAGCCCGGGGAAGGCTCTGGGTGACGTCCGGGGGCCTGGGGACGCGGAGCAGGCATCGGAGGACACTGAAGGAGGGCACTGGCCTCACCCACCTGCCAGTCCATCCATGTCCTTTCAGGTCCCTCCCCAGAGGGCGAGCATTCCTCTAAGAAGCCCCTCCCTGGGACGGGGGACATCCTGAGGCCTGTTCGGACCCAGGCCGGGGTGCCTGGGAGTTTCCTGCCCAGTCTGCCCCAGGCTGGGTCCCAGGTCCTTCAGGACAGGTCCTTGGCTTTTCCTGACTGGCTGCAGCTGAGGGGTGTGGCCAAGAATGATCCCCACCCGCCATCCGCAAGCTCCGTCCACCCCAGTCCATCTCCACCCCCGCTGCAGGGCCTGGTCACAGCACGGGTACATCAGGTCACACCGTCACACGGGCACCCTGGGCAGGGGGCACTTCCGGGCCACCTTCCCCCACTCTGCCCTCCTGCCCTGCCTCCCTTCTTGACGGAACTCGTCCCCTCTGCCTGCGGCAAAGACCTCGGATCTCCACTGGCTGGTTCCTGCCTGTCATCCCAGTTTCAGGGACATCCCCGGGGAGCGACAGCTGCGCCACTGTCTGCCGCCTGTTTTCATCTGTTCTCTGACGCTGCGTGGAATGTTCTAGCCCCTGGACTTCACATTCAGCTGTTTACACCCGGGGTCCTGCATGTGGCTCTGAGCAGGGACCAGATGCCCTCTTCCGGGAACCTTGGGGCACTTCCTGGGACACAGGAAGCGCCCCGTCTGTCTGATGTGACCTCCACATCATGCTCTGGTCTCAGAGGCGCGAGGAGCACCTGCGAGTGGCCAGGTCCTGTGCTCGGCGCTCTCTGTCCAGCACCTCAGGGAAGAGGCTTGGCTCTGCCTCCTGAGCGGGTAACAGGGCCTCTCCTAAGGCTGGGAGGAGGAGCCAGGGGAGGCCAGGCCCGGAACACGCATTTCCCAGGGATCCTCCCCCTTGGTGTGGAGGATGGGACACACCTGGTCCCAGTTCTGGCCGCTGCTTTGGAGCTGTGTCACCTCTAGCAGGTGACTCCCCTTCCCCAAGCTTTCACCGCCTTGTTGGCGAGACGGGGTCAGGGTGCAGCCCAGGGCTGCTCCCACCACAGCACAGGTGCTCACCTGAGGGGCCCTGCCCCACACCACCCTGCTGGCTGCCCAGGGCCCCGGCCGGCTGCGCACACCGCAGCCTGCTCTCACTTTTCTTTCTTGACATTGACGTAAGTGGTGCTGAATCATGAAGCTGAGGTTTGAGAGTGAGATGGAGAGTCTGCCCCGCCGGGAAGCCACACGGCGAGCCCCCCCCCCCCCCCCCCCCCCCCCCCCACACACACACACACACACACACACACACACCTCCCCCAGAGGTGTCTGCGCTGGATTTCAGTCCCACGCTGCCTGGTGCCTGGCGTGCAGCTCCCTGGGGCTTTTAGGTCACTTTACATAAGTTAGTTGAGGATTTAAAAATGACTCATGAAGAGAAGAAGGGGCCAGGTCCGGGGACGGTGAGCGGCGGGCCTCTGCCCCTGGCTGGGCTGCTTCAGGTTCTCTAAGGGAAGGGGCCTGTGTATCCAGTACTTGTGTAACGGGAAGATGAGTTTTAGACTTTTTCCAAGGTAGGAAAGAACCCTCAGCAGATGGTAAACTACCTGCCACTTCACCCTTGTTCAGATGAGGACCGTTTCCTCATTTGCAAAATGGGGATGTTACCATGACTGAAATCAGAAGGCTTTATAAATAGGTGACCAGGGGGCTTGGAATGGGCCTCCCGGTGAGTGCTATATATAACTGGCAGCAGCTGCTGCTGTTATTATTACTGCAACTGTGAGGTCCTGGGGTGCCTAACGGTCCCCGGCCTCTGGAGCAGTACTGAACTGAACGGGCGCAGAAAATCTGGCTCCCCACTCCTGCTGCCCGCTTTGCCTGTCAGAGCTGGCTTTCCCCTCTGCAGAGCCGGGCAGGGGCTGAGGCCCTGTCCAGAGAGCACAGGGAGCCCCGGGTACAGGAAGGGGTCCACAGGTTTGTGGTCATTGCTAGTAGCATTACCGCCTTGGGGAATTACCCCTTTCTCCAGGCCCTGCCCAAGGTGGGCAGGGGACGGAAAGACCAAGGAGAGGCCTTTAGTAACCCAGCAGGGCGTGAAGGGCAGGGGGTGGTTTAACAGATTGAGAAAAGGTAGCCATCTCTTGGAGGTGGAGACATGGCCTCCTGCCCTCCCAGCCCCTCTTTCAGGATGAGTGGCCAAAGCTCCGGGAGGTGAGGTCACAGGTCTCGCCCCCCACTTGAGGATTGGAGCCCTCTTAAGGCCTGGACTGCTCCAGCTCCCCAGCCACCCAGTTAATTTGGTGCTGCACTTTCAAGCCTGAAAGGTATTATTAAATATTAGGACGTCCATCACAAGCCCGTCCCAGGCCGCTTAGCCCTGACCGGGTCACTGTGCCACGGGCAGTGCACCCCAGTTCCCGCACATCTGCCAGCAGCGGCAGACCCAGGGGCCGTAAAGCCCACGTCCTGGCTCCTCCTGGCGCGTGGCTGGCCCCGAGGGCCTCCAGGCTCCGCAGAAGGCTGCCCATTTTAGAGGCAGAAGCCGAGGCCCAGGGAGGCAGAGGGAAATGCCCAAAGCCACCCGCGGGGACCTTTCTGCCACCACAGACCACAAAACCCCTCTCTGGCTCTAAGCTGTGTTGTTCACCAAAAAGTACACCAGACAGAACAGGGTGGGAAGAAGGAAGTCAGACCCAACCCTGCATCCCCACGATCCCATCTGAAATATGTCTCCCTTGTGCTGAGTTTCAGAATGGGCCACTCCTTCCAAAACTCATGGAGCGCCCACCCCAGCCCCACCCTCTTCCTGGAAGTTGTGGTCATAGAAGCAAAGAAATCTCTCTCATCCATTTTGAGCAGATTCCACTCGGACAGCCAAAAAGGCCAGAGTGTCATCTCTGACACAGGAATGGCCACAGCAAGTGCACTCATCCCTGGGTTTTCTCTTCTGTCACATGGGGACAAGAGCCAGCACCGAATTCACAGGGTTGTCTCTCTGCAGGATTAAGTCAGTGGAGCAGGAAACGCAGAGTAAAGAACTGGCACACATTAAAAGCTCAAATGTGCGCTACCATCTTACTGGACACACCAAAACTAGACCAAAGAGCTCTCTCCTGAGTTTGGGTAGAACCCAGCAGGGTGCCCAGCTACAGAGCGCTGTCCCCCCCTGGGCCTCCAATCTAGAGCGCCGGCTGGAGGGCCCTCTCCCGGGCCCTGCCGAGAACCCAGGGTAACTTCTGGCCAAAGCACACGCTCCACAAACCGTTTTTTTTTTCTTTTTTAAAAAAAAAACTTTCATAATAAAGTTTATTATCTAAAGTGGCTGTAAAAAATATAAAATAGGATTCTGCACAGCAGAAAAATAAAGCCAGAGACCCTCCCCCAACCCCTGGTTTGTGCAAAGATACATATATGTAAACATGAAGAGGTAGGAGGTGCGAGTTCAGGTCCTGGCTTCAGACAGTTAAGTTAAGCTGGGGGACCCAGAGGGAGCACCAGGAGGAGGAGCGCCCCCCAACAGGTGGGGAGGGGTCTGCGGCCTTGTCTCCAGCCGAGAGCGGGAGGCTCCTCGCCCCCACACCCACTCCCTCCAACCCAGGCGGGGAGGGCACCCATACGGTTCCAGGCAAATAATAATAATTAATAATAGAAAATAATAAGGCGCCCAGTTAATGCTGCCTGCGGGCGGGCGCGGCCGGTCAGATCTGGAAGGGGAAGGAGCTCAGGTAGTCACGGAGCACGGGGTTGAGGGGGATGCGCGCCAGGTTCTCTCGGCCCACGGTGGCCACGATGCGCTGGCGGCACAGCTCCTGCAGCGGCCGCACGCGGCGCTGTCGCAGCGGGGCCCCCAGCATGCGGCGCGGCGCGGCCACGTAGTGCTCCAGCAGCTCAAAGAGGCAGTCGAAGCTCTCGCGGCTGCCGTCCAGGTGGAAGCGGCCGGCCTGGAAGTGCACACGGATACTCGTGGGTCCCGAGGCCATCTTCACGCTGAGGGCGAAGAAGCAGTTCCGCTGGCGGCTGTCGCGCACCAGGAAGGTGCCCACCGGCTCAGCGCGCAGCCGCTCGTGCGCCCCGTGCACGCTCAGGGGTCCCCAGTAGAAGCCGCAGGCGTCGAGGAGCGCGCTGGCGCGCGTGATGCGCCGGTAATCGGCGTGCGAGCGGAACGTGCGGAAATGAGTGTCGCCGGGGGCCGGGGCCGGGGCCGGGCCGGGCCGCGGGCGCGCTGGGGCCGCTGACGAGGAGGAGGAGGAGGAGGAAGAGGACGCAGGCTCTGGACGCCGTCGGGACTCGGCTGCCGTGGAGATTGCATTGTCGGCTGCCACCTGGTTGTGTGCTACCATCCTACACGAGGGGCCAGCCGGAGGGGTGGGCCATAGCGTCCAGGGGTGCGCTGGTGGGGGAGACAGGCAGTGAGCCGGGGGCCGGGGCGGGGTTGGGCAGGTGAGGAGTCGCGAGGCGGATCGGGAGTACGACCCCCGTGGGTCTTGGCGGGCTCATCTGGAAAATGGGCTCCTCCGTCCGCGGAGCCCTTCCAGGCCGGTGGGGACGGAGTCCAGCCTCAGGGTCGCTGGGAGACGGGGGCGTGGAGCGGTGCCCAAGAAAAGCCTGCCCCGACTCCGGCTGCCCGGCCCGCGGCTCCCCGCCCCGCGGCCGCCGCCTGCTGGCCATGTCGGGGACAGGCGCCGGGTCCCGGCGATTTGGGCAGAGGCAGGAGAAAGGCTGGGTGGCGGGAACCCCGCGCGCGGGGGGCGGCCTGGGTGGGGCCGGCGGGGGTCTGGGGCGTGGCGGCGGCGACTCCACCACGCAGACCCCGAGGGCTACCCGATTCCCGGCTGCCCTGGCCTTCCCTCCCTTCTCCTCCCGCCTCCTGCCCACGGCCCGTCTCACCTGGCGGCGGGGCGCGGGGCGCCGCAGGCGGGGCGGCAGGGGGGCTCCGGGGCGGCTCTCGCGCATGCTCCGGGGCCGGGAGCCGTGCAGCTGCCACGGCCGCAGCTCGCTCTGCTGGTGCCCGCCCCTGCACCAGGCTTTTAAACCGGCTTGGAGGCGGGGCCCGCGCGGGAGGCCCCGCCCCCCCGGGGCCCCGCCCCCCGGCGCCGCTTTCGGTTTCTCTTTCCCGGGTGGCGCCGGGCGCTGGCGACTGAGACCGTTTTCCCTCCTTCTGCGGGACCCGCTGGAGGGAGGTCCTCTGCCCCGACTTCTCCGGGCACCTGTCCCAGCGCCCCTTCATCGAGGGCTCTGGCTCCGCCCCCGAGTCTTCGGGTTCCTGCTCCGACGCCCCCTGAAGACCTGACGCCCGCTCTCTCGTGCCCCTCCTCTGGCCCTTTAGGACGCCCCGAGTGACTCTGGCGCGCCTCCTCCCCTCCAGGGGTCTCTGCTCCACCTGGGAAAGCGCGCTGCCCTCCCCTCCCCTCCCCCGCAGCCAGAACGCTCCCGGAAGCCCCCTGACCCCAACGCTGCGCCCTCGGGCACCGCTTCCACCGTCCCGCCCGCCCCGCGGCCCGGGAGCCTCGGCCGGCCACCCCGCTCCCTTCCGGCTGGCCGCTCGGCCTGGCCCGGGCTGGGGCTTCCCAGGAAGCGGCGGCCAGACCACAGGCTTCGGAGGAAGCCGGGCGGCGCGGGAGGGGCGCCTGCGCTCGGGCGGAGTTCCTCGGAAGCCGGGCGGGGCCCTGAGCGCCCGGCGGCCTCCACCCGCGTGCCCGGCGCCCTGCTGCGCGACAGCCAGACAAGTGAGGCCGGGGAGGGGCTGTGACCGGCACATCTCCCCGTTTCCACTTGGGGGCGAGGACAGCGGGACACCTCCAAATGAGCCCGCAGAGAAAGTGGTACCTGCCCAGATGCAGCGATTCCCCAGCCCCCGCCCCTCGCCCCTTCCCCTCGCCTACCCCCTGCCCCCCCCCCCCGACCCCCCCCCGGCGCCGGGCCCCCCCCCCCCCCCCCCCGTGGCCTTATGCTTCTGTCCAAGGGGGAAGGCCATGGAGTTGCCTGGGTGGCGTCTTTGCATGAAGGAGTGGGAGCCCCCGAGTCAGGAGTCCCGTGAAAGACTCTCCTCCGCGGGCTGAGGGGCTTGGAGCAGCCTCACACTGGCACACGCTGCCCTCTGCAGTCCAACGTGGGCAGCTCCTCGGGCAGCTCCCCCTCGGCCCCCAGACTGCCTCGGTTCTCCCAGCCCAAGCCCTCGGCCGCAAGTTTCCCTCTAAGTGAAGCGGGTGAGCCAGAAACGAGCTTGGCCACGGGCCGCCAGCTCCTTGAACTGGTCTGTGGCCCGGGCTGGGGGTGGTCCTTGGTGTGGCCACCCTTGGTCTGGCCTTGTACACAGGGGTGGGAGGGGATGCAGAGCCACCATGCCTGTGCCACAGGCCAGGGCTGTGGTCATCCCGGAGATGTTGGTGGGGTACGTGCTGCCAGGGGGGAGCCTGGTGGGGCATGGAGTGAAGACTGAGCAGTGGTCACAGCCAGGCTCGGAGCCCAGACGCTCTTCCCGCTGGGCGGTTCTAGCCTGCCTCCTGGAGCCTGGGTAGCTTTCTGCCTTCTGCGGACCCCTTCCAGGTTGGGGGTGGGGCTCGGTGAGACTTCTCCTGATGTGACGCAGCGCCCAGGAGGTGCTGCTCGCCTGGGGGTGCCTGCAGGTGAGCACCTGGCTTTTGTGGCTTTCTCCTCTGTGTCCCTTCCAGAAGCTCTAGCCCCAGGAGCCCAGGGCAGAAGGGCACAGTGAAGGGGAGGAAGGTGCCTCGGGGTTCAGCAGGGCTCGCCAGGCAGAGGGGCGCACCCCGTCTCACTTGTGCTGGACTGGATGGTCCTGGCTCACGGATGACAGGCTGGGCTGGCACCTGCAGGACTGGCCTCCCCGGTGCCCATCTCCCTAGCACACCTCTGGGCAGAGGGAACCCCAGAAACTGCTGATTGGTAGCCTCAGGGTGACTTGGGAGACCGCCCCTCCCCCATGCCCACGACTGTCACCCCCAGCGGGCTGGGTGCTGAGTGCCTCACGGTTCTTAAGGCACTGAATTGGCACAGTGATGCTGTCTGCCCATTTGGGAGATGTGGAAACTGGGACTCGGGGCAGTCACTGCGCCAGGCACGCAGTTCAGAAAGGGCAGAGCTGGGCTTCATGCCCATGGTGGGTGACCCCTCGTCCCTGGGCTGTTAACGCCTCCCTGGCCCCCATTCCTGGTGGTCTCCATCCTCCAACCAGCAGGCTCCCCAGCAGGGACCTGTCTTAGCAACCAGTGACATCCAGCTGAGTCCCGGGCTGTCCCTGAAGAGTGGGACAGGCCTGCAGGCTTCCTCCATCCCTCCATTCGTCAACGTGGGGAGGCGCCAGGTCTCGCTGCTCAGACTCCACCTCCCTCCATGGCTTGGATCCCTTTCCTGACCCCTTCCTCCACCCTCCCCAGGTTGCAAGTCCACAGTGAGTCAGGCCGGGTCCCTGGGTGCTGCTTCTCATCACAGCTATCAGTGACAGTTAGATTGCTTTCGTTTTGTGTTCTGAAATCCTGAGTTTCAAAATGAAACCAAATCCAGATACCAGACAAGAAAAAGAAACATGCTGGTGGAGGAGCCTCCAACCCTGGAGGGCAGGGTCCGGGCTCACAGGAAGCCCCAGCAGGAAGCCCTTAGGTGCTCAGACTCCACAGTTCACTGGCCTGCACTGCCCAGCTGTGTGTCCTTGAGTAAGTGACCTGCCCTCTCAGGACCCCATTTCCCTCATCTGCAAAATGGACCTCAGAGAGTAGCAATGCACACAGAGTCCAGAGCAGGAGCAGGGCACACAGTGACTGGCTCAGTGACTTCAAGTCACAGGGCACGTGAGAGACCTGTGTCCACGACTCGTTGGCCACAGGTTCGTGCCGCTCCCTGCCTTGGCTCAGAACCAGGGGCCGGCCAGCAGCTGCGGGAGTGGAGACCCGCCCCTGGAGCTCGGTTTTCAGTTTCTTTTTCCATCTCTGCAGCACTCTGCTGGGAAGGGCAGCCGCTGGTCAGCGTGTGTGATTCTGAAAGTACCGTGGGTCCCAGTGCCCCCTGACCCTCCTGCACGGCATGGGTCAGCAAGGTCCTGTGGGAGTCTGTGCCGCAGAGCCCCGCGCTCTGGCCGAGGGCATGCACTGCTGTTTGTATACATCTGTCACTTCATAAGTGAGTGGCATAGGCGACCTTCTTACTGCTCTGGGTCTCAGTGTCCCCATGGGGCAAGGGCAGATGTGGTTCAAGCTTTCCGTGTTCACAGACATTTACTGAGCACTTACTGTGTGCCGGGCACGGGGAGCTCAAGTCTTCAAGTAGACCCTGGGGACACGGTGAGGCTACACTTCAGATCACACTGGGTCCCTGCAGGAAATAGGGAGAAGGAGGTGACCAGGTGTTTGTGGGCGAGAGAAGCAGTGAGGGAAAGCCTCTTGGGGTGGGGGCACAGGCATTGGGGTCACGCTAAAAGCAGAGTGAAGAGGACCCCAGGCGGAGGGTCTCGCCCATGCAAAGGCCTGTGTGGGGTGATTGACAGGCGTGAGGCCCAGAGAGGACGGAGGTGCAGTGGACGCAGGGCCAGGAGCTGCAGGGGTCCGTCAGTCGGGAGTGACAGGAGGGGCTCCAGTAACCCCCCAGAGGCCTGCTAGGACTGACCTGCAGGGAGCCCTCTGGCTGCTGACCCTTCTAACCCAGGGGCTTTGAGACCCTGCCTGACCCCTGAGGTGTCCCTGCCCCAGCCAGAAATGGGAGCGAGCCACTCCTGGG